CGACCTGCGACCGGAACCCCGTGTTTGGACCTAATACTCTGGGCCCTGGACACACAGACCCTGATCCCCCAGTCCTGGGGCACCTCCAGACCCAATGGCCCCCTGGACCTGAGGACCCCAGACTCAATGCCTTGCAACCTGGGGACCTCCGACCCAGAGAAGCCTAGACCCAGACCCTGGAACCCCAGATCCCAGACCTGGACCCTCAGACCCAGAGATCCCCAGAGCCTGGACCCCAAGCCTGGGATCTCAGACTCAGAACCCCGGGACCCCCAGACCTGAATGCTGGCGTCCTAAACCCAAGACCTAGAGACACTCAGACAACTCCCTAGATGCCCACCAGTCACCCTGGTCTCTGAGGCCCCTGGGAACATGCCCTGACCTGACCGCCCAGCGCCCCCTGAGCCTCGCACCTTACCAGGTACCTTCTCTCAAAACCCCCAGCTCTTCACACCTTGGCCCCGGCTCAGAGCCCATCCAGAGCCACCAGCTGGAGGCCCCGCCCTCTTGGAGGTCCCACACCAGCCCTGATTCCGGAAAAGTCTCCCCACCCAGAAATCCCCACCCGACCCTCAGGGCACCCCGACTTCCCTCCTGGGCCCCGCTCCTTGGTGACCTCTCTGACCTCTCTCCCGCAGCTGGTATGACAAGTCCTTCACCCTCATCGTCTTCTCCAACGGCAAGCTGGGCCTCAGCGTGGAGCACTCGTGGGCGGACTGCCCCGTCTCAGGGCACATGTGGGAGGTAGGGCAGTCCCCCCGCCCCCCCGGGGGACCACCACCCCCATTTCCAGAGACCTTCCTCCCCCGGGGCTGAGGGTCAGAGGAGAAGCAGAGGCTCGCAGAGAGAAAGGAGAGACCGGGAGGGCCACCCAGCAAGGCAGGGGGCCTGGGTGGGCAGTTGGGACTCAGAGAAGGGAGCTGATTTGTCCGGTCACAGAGCCAGGAGCTGCAGAGCGGGACTGTGAGTCCGGAACGTTCTGAGGCCAGAACGAGGGGCCTTTGAGTCACATCATCATCGCTCAGATGGACCCACCTCCCAGCTTGGCTGAGTGACCCTGGGCAAGTTACTCCCCTCCGTCCTTTTATCTTTAAGTCCCATCCAGTCCTGAGAACCTCAAGTCTCTATTTTATTTCATTTTTTTAAAATATATTTTATTAATTTTTTACAGAGAGGAAGGGAGAGAGATAGAGAGTCAGAAACATCGATGAGAGAGAAACATCGATCAGCTGCCTCCCGCACACTCCACACCGGGGATGTGCCCGCAACCCAGGTACATGCCCCTGACCGGAATCAAACCCGAGACCCTTCAGTCCGCAGGCCGACACTCTATCCACTGAGCCAAACCGGTTTCGGCATATTTTATTTCATTTTAAATCAGAGGGGGTGCCTGCCGCCCATTGGCCCTGTCTCCGGTGCGGCATGAGGGCTGGACAGGCCCAGGGTGGGGAGCAGGGTGTGAGGGGGGAAGGGAGGCCCCTCCAGACCTCGGGAGCAGCCCAGATCAGTGCAGACTCTCCTGGACCCGTTTCTCGTTTGTAAAATGGGAATATTTTGGCAAATGAGACACAGTTCAGTTCCACGTCAGAGCCTCAGGCTGTTCACGTCCACGTATCATCTCCGTATGTCCATGTTGAACGAGGAGATGGCGCAGAGTAAGATAGAGAGAAGTGCCACGCTGAAGGGTAGCAGGTGCTCGGTCAGGGTTGGTTTAAAATATTTAGCAGGCCCGGCCGGCGCGGCTAGTGGTTGAGCGTCAACCTATGAACCAGGAGGTCATGGTTCGATTCCTGGTCAGGGCACATGCCTGGGTTGGGGGCTCCATCCCCAGTAGGGGGAGTACAGGAGGCAGCCGATCAATGATTCTCTCTCATCATTGATATTTCTGTCTCCCTTTCCCTTCCTCACTGAAATTAATAAAAATACATTTTTTAAAAATAAGATATTTAGTGCGGGACGGGGGGAGGTTGGGGGTTAATGGGGGGATAAGGACACATTTGTAATACCATAACTAATAAAAAAAAGAGAGACAAAAAAAATAAGATATTTAGCAATATTTAACAATAATAAAAGCAGGGTGTGGCCCTGCTCAGTCAGAATGGATCTGAGGGGGGTCCTCGGGAGGGCTGGGCAGCCATTGGTGCTCTAAGAACCTGGCAGAAGGTCAGGGGTAGGAAGCGCCGTTGGGTATTGGCATCGTTCCCACTCTCGATGGACTTGAACCTGAGACCCCGCTTGTGAACGTGAGGGGTTTCTCCTTCTCAGGGACTGACCCCAGGCCCAGAAGGGCCTGGTCCAAGAGGTCCCCGGTTAGATGGCTGAGGGCCAGAGGGAGGCAGGGACCCTGACCACCTGCATTTGTACACAGTTCACTCTGGCCACTGAGTGCTTCCAGCTGGGCTACTCGGCAGACGGCCACTGCAAGGGCCACCCTGAGCCCTCCCTGCCCCGGCCCCAGCGGCTACACTGGGACCTTCCAGACAAGGTGAGTCTGGGCTCCCGGGCCTCTCCACCGAGTCCCCAAACTCCTGGATTTGACTCTAAACTCATTTTCATCCCCAAACTCAACCTCGAGACCAACCTCATCCCCTACTCCATCCCCAACCCAAACTCATCTCCACCCAACGCCATCTCCATCCTAAATTCAATCCTGTTTCCAACACCAAACCCATCTGAAACCCCAACCCTAACTCCAGCCCAGCTCCAGCCCCAACCCTAACTTCGGTCCATCCACAGCCCCATTCCCGCCTGCAGTGGCCTCCCTGTCTCCACCTATAACCTAGCCCAGTGATGGTGAACCTATGTCACCTCTGACACGCGAACTCATTTTTTTGGTTGATTTTTCTTTGTTAAATATAATATAATATAATATAATATACCCTCCCCTGGCAGGTCCACCTGTCCATCGCGCTCGCCCTGCGGGCAGCCAAGACCTTGTCCGGAGACACGGACTGCCACGTCTTCCCCTTCTCCCACTTCGGCAAGAACTTCATCAGACGCTGCCACCTGTCCTCGGACAGCTTCATCCAGACGGCCTTGCAGCTGGCCCACTTCCGGGTCCGTGAGGTCCCCTGACCCCACCCCCTCTCAGGAACTCGGTTCCCTGGCCCCCCAAGAACTGCCACAGCAGCTCCTTTCATGACTCTTCTTGGCCATTGTGGGTCCACTATCTTTTTCCCCCCAGAGGTAGTTTTTTTTTTCTTTAATATTTTTAGAGAGAGAAGAATGGAGAGGGAGAGAGAGAGAGAGAGAGACATTGATGTGACATTGAAACCCTGATCCGCAGCCTCCTGCATGCTCCCTACTGGGGATGGAGCCTGCAGCCCCTGCAGGTGCCCTGACTGGGGATTGAGCCAGCAACCTTTTTGTTGTTGTTGTTAATCCTCACCCGAGGATATTTTTTCATTGATTTTTTTTTTAGCATTTTCCATTGATATTTTAGAGAGAGTGGAAGGAACAGGGAGAGACAGAGAGAAACATTGATGTTTAGAGAGAGACACATGGATTGGTCCATTTGAGGGAGACACATCAATTGGTTGCCTCTCGCATGCACCCAGACCAGGGATGGGGATTGAGCTTGCAACTGAGGTACGTGCCCTTGACCAGAATCTAACCCTGGACCCTTAAGTCTGAGGGCTGGTGCTCTATCCACTGAGCCACACAAGCCAGGGCGAGCCAGCCGCCTTTTGGTGCACAGAAGGATGCCCAGCCAACGGAGCTGCGCCCGGAGGGCGGGTCTGCCATCTGGATTCCTCTCCCCCAACCACAAACTGCTGGGCGGGAGGAGGCTGTGGGCCCAGAGGTGGGCCACGTCTGTGAGGACTTCCTGAGCCCGATGACAGCTCCTCTTCTCCTTGTCCCCCAGGACAGGGGGCGCTTCTGCCTGACTTATGAGTCCGCCATGACGCGCCTGTTCCTGGAAGGCCGGACGGAGACAGTGCGGTCCTGCACGCGGGAAGCCTGCAACTTCGTGCGAGCCATGGAGGACAGAGAGAAGACAGTGGGTGTGAGCTCAGCTGAGGCTTCGGTCACGACCACATCCCCACTCGGGCCCTTGCAGATGTGTATGGAGCACCCGCGCGGGGCAGGGAGGACAGTCCTGGACTCGGACCTCGAGGAGCTCACTGATGGGGGAAACGGAGATAGTTCAGCATAGTGTGATACAGGCATATATATATACACACACATATACATATATATATGTATGTATATATGAGAGAGAGATAACCATCAATGATGAGAGATCATTGATCAGCTGGCTCCGGCACGCCCCCTACTGGGGATTGAGCCCGCAACCTGGCCATGTGCCCTGACCGGGAATGGAACCGTGACCTCCTGGTTCATAGGTTGACACTCAACCACTGAGCCACACCGGCTGGACTGATAGAGACTTTAATGGGGGTCTCACAGGACATGGGGGGCTGGAGCACCCAAGAGGGAGCCCTTTTGCCACAATGCAGCCCTTTGATGATTTAACCGTTGATTTTTAACTTATGTGACCTTGTGACATCCATTGGCACCATTGCCCCTGTTCCCTCTATAACCTCTCTGCTCAGACACCCGCCCTCTGCCCCAGGCACCTCTGCCCCCGCTGCCCCTGCCTGTGTGGCTCAGTGGGAGGAGTGTCAGGAGGCCTGGGAACCCCTCTGCTTCGGCTTTGCTCGGTGTCCCTGGGCAGGTGACTTTCCCCCATTGAGCCCGTTTCCATCTGTAAAACAGGGCTGCTGTCTCTGCCTTGCAGGGGTGTTGCAAGCTGGGGTGAGGCCCGGGTGTGACAGACCCCCCGCAGTAAGCCCACTTCCTGTTTTTCCATGACCTGCGACCTCCCCGGGACCCCAGGACTCCCAGTGCCTCTCCCTGTTCCGCCTGGCGGTGGACAAGCACCAGGCTCTGCTGAAGGCGGCCATGAGTGGGCAGGGCGTGGACCGCCACCTGTTCGCACTCCACATCGTGTCCCAGCTCCTCCACCTGCAGGCGCCCTTCCTGGACCAGGTTGGGGTGCAGGGAAAGGGCTAGAGACGAGGGAGGCACTTGGGGGCAGGGAGGGGGCTGTTGGGAAAAGGAGGTAACAACGGAGAGAACTAGGGATACCAGGCGAGAGGGAAGGGGAAGGGGCGGGGCTAAGGGAGAGGGGCGTGGTCTCAGACAGAAATGGGAGGGGCTGGTCCCGGGGAGAGGGATGCCCGGGCACCTGGAAGAAGGGGGCGTGGCATTGGAGGGCGTGGCCTGGGAGAAAGGGGCGGGGTCCAGGAGGAGAGCGGAGAGGTGGTCCGGAAGGGGAAGGGCAGGGTGCAGATGGGGGCAGATTTAGGGAAACCGGGAAGCCAGGGGGGCAGGTCAGAGGGCGAGGGCTGTGTGGCGTGGAGCGGAGCCCAGGGGGCGCGGGCCTGCGAGTCTGTCTTTGTTTTTCTCTCTTTTTGGGGGGCCGGGGGGAGCGGTCTGTGACCGTCCTCCTCCCCTCAGGTTCGCTCGGAGCAGTGGCAGCTGGCCACCAGCCAGATCCCCGTGCAGCAAACCCACCTGTTTGACGCCCACAACTACCCCGACTACGTGTCCTCCGGTGGAGGGTTTGGGCCTGTGAGTGGGAAGGGCGGACCGGGCGCCCTGAACCCCGAGGTGGACGCCGGCAGCCTGCACGCCTGCCTCCTGCCTCCTGGTGGGGAGGCACCTGGGCCCTTCTGCTCCCCTCCCCCTGTCTCTCTCCAGGTGGATGACCACGGCTACGGTGTTTCTTACATCTTCATGGGGGATGACACGGTCACCTTCCACATTTCCAGCAAAAAATCAAGCACAAAAACGGTGAGACCCACCGAACCACCCGCCACCTCCTTCCTCAGGACCCAGGAGTCTGGACCCGTAGCTCCCTCCTCTCCAGAACCGAGTCCAGACCCCCAGCCCCAACACCCACACCCCAACCCTCCCTC